CCTTGCTGGAGGCCGGAGGGATGCAGGTGGGGGAAGGCGAGTGGGGGTCAGACCCTGCGCTGGGCGTCCTGGCAGAAGCCGACCGGCAGTGGGTACCCAGACAGCGGAGGCGCCCTCAGGGGTTCTCAACAGGCATGGACTTTGGCACCCGAGCGCCCCAAGAGGTCAGCCTTCACTGGAGGGGCCCCTGGAGGGATGTCCTGGGCAGAGCTGAGAGGGAGGCTGGCAGGGAGGGCCGGGCCAGGCGCGGGAGGGGGCGGAGAGGGTGCGGCGCGGGCATGGGGTGGGGGGTGGGGGCGCAGGGCTGAGGTCTCGCCTTGGAGACACTGCGGGGTGCCCAGATGTGCCGGCCTGGAGCCGCGTCTGGGGAGGCAGCGCAGAGCCGGGGCGTCTCATATCTGTGTAGGCACACACCTGTGCCCAGTCATCTGTCCTGGGGTGCTTGGGGGCTCCTGCCGCTTGACTGGGGTGGATAATGCTGCAGTGGACTTAGGGGGCAAGTGTTCCTTTAAGTCAGTAGCCACCTTCTTTGAGAAATACCCAGAAGTGGGGTCACAGGGGTGTTCTGTCTTTGTTAGAGGAGTCCCCTTGCTGAAACCGGGTCTCCCGGCCTGAGTCCGGGCTCCATGCCTCAGAACGAAGGTGCTCGCGTGGTAGGAAGAGCCCCTCCTCAAGACCAGACAGCCCCGCCCGCTAAGAAGCCAGAACTGTAGGGAGCCAGAGCTACCCACGAGTCCCAGGGTCCGGCGGGGCCGGGTCAGGCCGGGCGGCTGCACCCGCTGGGACCGCCAGGGGGCGCCCGCCACAAAGACGCGAGGCCCCTGACCGGCCGCCGACAGGGGCCGGAGCCCAGGGCTCTGCGGAGCGGAGGCTCAGCCGGGGCAAGTGGGGGTCCCGGCTTCTCGGAGCAGCTGCTGCCCCGCCGAGGAGGCCTGGGCTGCAGATACAGCCGGCCCGACCTCACCCCACAGAGCCCTTGGGGAGGCACCGCCGCCCCGCAGGAGGGACAGCGAGAAAAGGGGCTTTATCCCGACTTTGGGCTGTCTCTGCAAACCGCTGGGGCTGAGACACCCAGGTTCTGAGGTCAAAGGTCAAGAGGTCAGCAGAGCTGGTTCTGCTTGGCTGGGCGGTGTCTTAAGCCCCTCTGTGCTTGTCTGTGTCCTGACCACCTCCTCTTTTTATTTTTTGATAATTTTCTTTTTAAAATATTTTACTTATTTTTGCATAGAAGAGTTGGGATGTAGGCCAGAGGTGTGGGGGATGAAAGGACTCACAGAGTGGGCAGCAGAACAGGTGGATCAACTGAAATCACTGCTGAGGGAGACAGGAGAGGTCTGCTGTGCCCTGTGGGTCACTCCCGGGCCAGGGATCCAACTCACACCTCAGTGGCTGGGCTGTAACTTCTGCGCCCCAGGGAGGCCTTGACCGCCTCTTCTTATAAGGCGTGCCCACTGCATCGGGGGGGCACCCTGGCCAATCCATGTGCCCTAATTCTCTAGTAAGGCCCCCTTGCCAGACATAGTCAGATGCAGGTGCCTGGGGATAGGAGCTCAGCACGTGAATTTGGGGGTACACAGTGTAGCCCATAATAGGCTTAAAGTATCAACTTGGAGACCTTGTTGGGGGAGACCCGAGACAGCCAGCTTTGGATCTCGCCGAGTCTGGGGCGCCTGAGAGAATGGCTGCGGACACACCAGCCCCAGGTGGCTTGAACCTGCACACAGGAGCCCCTGCACCCCCGGGCCCCACGACCTGCGGCTGTCCCTCAGCCCACCCACTGGCTCAGCAGACCCCCAAGGTCTCTCGTCTGTCCATGCCGAGATACCTGTCCATGCCCTGCCCTGGGGCAGCTGGCGGGGTAGCAGAGCAGGAGGGAGGCAGCGCCAGGAAGCCCCGGGCCCAGGGTGCCCCTGCAGCCTCGGGCACTGCACCCCTATCCACCCTATCAGCGTCCTACTGAGAGAGAAGCTGAGATCTGCAGGGTGGGGAACACCCCGTGGGGTCGGGACACCCCGTCTTCCACACCCCACAGCCACAGGGAAACTGCTCCTGCCTCTTCAGGCCACAGAGCAAGACTGTGCTGGCTCAGGACGCTGGGCCCGGAAACTGGACGCAAGTGCAGCGGCCAGCGGCCACGTGGGCCTGCAGGAACCCAGTGCGTGCGGGGACGGGTCCATGGGGAGCAGCCGCCTTGGGCACCGCCGCGCCTCCAGCGCCCAGCCGCACGGGCCCTTCACGGCAGCTCCTGGTGTGTGTTGTTTTGGCCAGAAGCCTGAGAGCCCAGTTTCAGTGCGCAGCGTCTGGGGTTACTCGGGACAGCGAAGTCCCACAGCCAGGTCCGCCGCTGGTGAAGGGTCTGCCGGGCCCTCCCCTGCGCATGCGCGTGTGCGTGCCTGTGCTGCCGCTGCGCGCATGCGTGCGGTGGAACTGCCTCACCCGCGGAGACAGTGACCCGCGCGCGGGCTCCAGGAGCCGAGCGCGCCCACAGCACCCGCGCAGGCTGCTGTCTGGTGCTCGCACAAGCAGGGGCTCCTGCTGGGGGCTCTGCTGGCCCCGTCTCACGGCGGGGGTGGGGGGTGGGAGGTCCAGACGCGGGTGACCTGCCCGAGACCCCCTCCCTCGTGCCGGATTTGGGGTTTGGGCCCGACCCCCCAACCCCCCAGCCGCCCCTGCCTCCCGCTCACCTCTGTGGGGCCTGAGCAATAGGGCGAGCGACACTTGTGACCTCTCAGCCAGCAACGCGGGCAGCCAGCACCCCACGCTTAGGCCATTGCACGTTTGGGGCTCCCGCTGCCGACTGAAGACGCCCCAATTTCAAAGGGGCCGGTAGCTGGCCTTTGCCAGGGTGACAGCAGAGCTGCACAGCAGCAGCACAGCCCCCCAGGCCCCAACAGTGCAGCGGGGGCCACGCGCCCCTGCCGCCGGCCTGACCTTCAGGGCCTCACAGCCTGTGCGCTCTGCGGCTTTTTGGCTTCGCCTGAGCCATTTTCTGTCTTCGAAGATTTATCTGCATTTTAGCCCCTGGTAATAGCTCTTTCTGTTTTGTTTTATTTATTTATTTTTAAAGGCTTACTTATTTATGCACACAGAACTGGGGTACAGGCCAGAGGTGCAGGGGCGGTGAGAGGCTTCGCCAGAGACAGAGCGGGGAGCAGAACAGGCAGATGGGCAAAGGACACTGCTGAGGGGAGCCGTGGGGAGACTGCAGAGGTCTGCTGCGCCCTGGGGGTCACTCCCTGGCGGGGATCCAACTCGTGCTGCAGTGGCTGGCGATAGGATGGTGCTGAGACTTAACCCCGGCGCCTCGTTCTGTTGAATGTCCAACAGCCCCTGCGATCCTGTCACACACGCTCTGCCCTTGCAGGACTGTTATGAGTAAAGTATTTGCGTGCCACTCCAAGTGGGCCCCTGCATTTTCATCCCTCTGGATGCACAGACTCCCAGGGTGAAACTGGGAGGTCGCGGGGCAGAGGCGTGTCCAGCTCCCAACGCACAGCCGGCCAGCGCGCCCAGCCCCCTGCTCACCATGGCCTCAGCGGCTGGCAGAAGTAGCATGTTGTGGTTTGAACTTGATTTCTCCGGTGACCCATGACACCTAACATTTCTCACTGATTCTCAGTGAGATGTTCTTTCTTGGGCTGTGCTCGTCCAGGTCTTTCGCCCCCTTCTTAGAACTCAGTTGTCTCTCCTTTGTCAGCTTGAAAGAACGCCTTTTACCTTCTGCTGCCAGCCCACTGCCGCTTCACACGCAGCCATCCAGAGCACGTCTGTGCCTTTGGTAGCGTTCCTCTAGCTGTGTGTCTCCGCCTCTCATCAGCGAGGGGCAGTACAGGAGGCCTCCGGTAAGGGCCCAGGGAGGGATTTGCAGAGAGCGGCGTGGTGGTGTGCTGCTCATCTGTGTCAGGCCCGGGGCGGGCTGGTCTAGGGCAGCAGGAGCTCCTGCCCTGCCTGAAGCCCCGAAGGCCCTGAGGGTAAGAGGGAGAGAAAGGCCCATTGCCAGCTTCACCGTGGACTATGCACCGTGCTGATGAAACTCAAAAACAGGCCCTGATTGGTCGCGACGGCCAGTTGCCGCGCTGTGAATTCTCTCCCTGTGGCCAACTTCAAGCTAATGCCGGTTTAACATCTGGCTGGCAGAAGTCCTGAGCGCGTGACCATCGGGTCTCATGAGCCAGCACAAAGCACAGCAGCACACTGACCCCCAGACCCCCAGTTGTGTTGAAGCAGGCGAGTCCCCTCTTCAGACCTGAGTCCCCTCTGTCCAGGGGAGGACAGGGCTTGAGCAAAAACAGCCAAGAAGAACGCTGCCTTAGCAAAGCTGATGTCCTGGAAGTGAGGCGTGGGGGTGGAGGAGACAGGGGCGTGGACAAGTGAACAAATAAGGGGATCTTGAGTGCTCAGAAGAAACCAAATCAGCTCTGGCAGCTGATGTGTCTGGAGCGGGGAGAGGGTGACCTTCGACTGCATGAGGGTAGAGGCTTCTCAGAGGGAGACCTGGGTGGCAGGGGCCCGGGAATGGGAAGACAGAGGGGACAGCCAGTGGCCACACGAGGGCACGTGAAAGACGACGCACTGCCACCCCCCTGCCCAGTTAGGCCAAGGAACAGACAGGCCAGAGGGGCTGGTGCCTGGCGGTGAGGCACAGGCTTCGCCTGGTTCCCATGTTTGGCGGTGGCTGCTCTGAGGGTGGCGGCCAGGACACTGGCTGCTGTGGGGAAGGCCACCAGGGAGGGGGACCCAGGCCCCGCCGAGGGACACAGCAGAGATCTGTTGTGGGGGCAGAGGCAGCCGCTTCTGCAGGCAGACTGGCTATGGGCAGGAAGGGGGCGGCTGAGGGCCCCCCTCAGCTGAAGAGTCCCGGTGGCTTCACAGCTCCAGGCTTGGAGTAGATTCGGGGTCACCCTTTTTAGAAGTGGGATGGAGACAATTCACCTGGGGGCTGAGGGCTGTGGCCTGGTGCACCTATGACCTGAGGCAGGAAAGGACAGCAGGCTGTTGGGGCTCTGGGCAGAGCCAGCAGCTCCCCTGGGGCGCTCTCATTTTTCTCGACAGCCTTGAGAAATGGAGGTTGTTCCAGTTTGCAGGGGGAGGCCTGGGGTTCTGGGGAGAAGTGACTTCTCCAAGGTCCTGCAGCCAAGTAAGTCACAGAATGGGGCGCATGGATGTCTCACACCCAAGGCCTGGGTTACCAACGAGTCGCCCCCAAGACCAGGTCCCCAGACCGCCCCAGTCCCCTGTAGGCCTAGGGATGAGGGTGGGGGTGCAGGGGGTGTCACCCAAAGTCAGTGACATTCATGAAGGCAGATGGCGAAGCTGAACAGCTTGTCCCAGAGGAGGAGGGCTGAGGCCCCGGACTGGGTCCGAGGGTGGAGGCTGGGGGCCTGACTCAGGTTCTGCGGGAGGAGGGGGAGCCCGGACTCGGTCCGAGGGAGGAGGGGGAGCCCGGACTCGGGTTCTGCGGGAGGAGGACTGGGCCTGGACCCTGGGCCTGGGGTCTGAGGCTGCAGGGAGGTGGCCCCCAGGCGTCCCAGACCCGGGGCTCCCA